CTGCAATCTATTGTATTTCTAATTTATTAATACTTCACATGTATCATTCGTTTATTTCCTAAAAGACGTACATCGTTATGTATTCATTTGATGTATTTTTTTTACATATAGGCTTTTAAAGTTCATCTTTATATTAGTAGGCAGGATGAAAATGTACGAATATGTACTAAAGTTGCTTTTGCTAGAAAACTAAAAGTATTTTTAAAATCTGTTTTCTGATTCACACATTTAAACAATTTGCCGATAAATTTTTCATGAATGAATGAATAAATAAATGATTGATTGTATTATATATTTTATACAGACACTTTAAATAATCTGGTTTTGGTAAAAAAGGAATTTGGGGATTCAGGCAACTTTAGGTTTACATGGTAAAAAGTCCAAACTATTTGTCAACTGTTTTATGTAAAGGTAAACAACAAACAATGTTGTACAATATGTCAATACAATGTTGAATGTTGTTACAATGTTGTATTTAAGGTAAGTAAACAAAGATATTAAGAAATATTGTTTACTTTAGCCCAGTCAATGAATGCAATAAAACAGCCTTTTTCGCAACTAAATGGTGGAAAGCTGGATATTTTATATGTGATAGAACCACATGAGAGGTGTATTTTCCCAAAAGTCCCCACTTCTACCCCTTGAGCTTTCCCCCCACCCCCCTCCAAACATAGAAATTGCAGTTATTTACTTAATTGATCATAATTCGAATGTTATGTAAGCTATCGAGCTGCAATTTGTTTCGTTTTATTTCTGATTAGTTTTCCTACAACTTTTGTATTTATAACATTTTTCTAAAACCAATACTTAGGGAGATATAAAATTTAAACTCCGTTAAAAGCTTTGTTTCAGAGTGCAAAATCTTGTTTTTCTCTATGTATACTTTTAAATATAAATAATACGCAAATATGGTTCAAACAAAAGTTTTAGTACGTTTTTCAAGGTTTACAAATATATTATTGGTTAGTCATCTAGGTGACCGGGTGAAGAGCTGGGCGTCGGCAAAGTGAGCGCGTGCGCGCTAGTTGAACACCTCTGCGCTGCGTCATTGCATCTAGCCCAGCCAATAAACGCACCAACTGCCTTTTTTCGTCGCTAAATAGTGGAAAGCTGAGTTTGTTATATGTGATAGAACCACTTAAGACGTGTATTTTGCAAAAAGTTCCTGAATCTCCCCCCCCACCCCCTCCAACCCCCTCCAAACCTGGAAATATCAGTTGTTAACTTTACTGGATATAATTCAAATTCTACGCATGCCATGTAGTGAAATTTGGTTTAGTATTATTTATAATTAGTTTATCTACAACTGTTGTACTAAAGATTTTCATATAAAAGTAAATCCAAAGAGATATAACGTTTAAAATTTTTTTTATATAATGTTTATGTTTATTAGTTCACAATTTTGTTTTACCCTCTATATATTTTTTCCAAATAAAATACGCAAAATGTTACAAACAAAAATTTTAGTATGTTTCTTAAGGTTTATAAATATATATTAGATTAGTCATCAGCATCCGCGCAGCCCCGTCCGTCGATACATAGCCTAATAAGGACCGGCACCACTAAGTTCTCAACTGTTTTATATAAATCCTAAGACTTCCTAATTCGTAGCCTACATTACTACCAAAACAATCTGTTTCCAAGCTAAACCGTGAATAAATGAATCACCTCACGGTCAGTAAAAATTGTTCGTCGACTTACTAATCCTTGATACAAACTGCGTCCTATCGTTAAAATGTCCCTTTCTTCACGCTTCCCGCTAGCAAATAAAATATGGCTGCTCGCTCATTAAATTATCTCCCCCCCCCACCCCTCCAACGCCCTCCAAACCTGGAAATATCAGTTGTTAACTTTACTGGATATAATTCAAATTCTACGCATGCCATCGTAGTGAAATTTGGTTTGTATTTTTTATAATTAGTTTATCTACAACTGTTGTACTAAAGATTTTCTTATAAAACTATATCCACAGAGATACAACATTTAAACTTTTTTTACAATGTTTATGTTTAAGAGTACACAATTTCGTTTTACCCTCTATATATTTTTTCCCAAATAAAATACGCAAAATGTTTCAAACAAAAGCTTTAGTATGTTTCCTAAGGTTTATAAATATATATTTGATTAGTCATCTGAAAAAACTGATGTAGTGTGGGGCGTCGGCATTGTCGGCAAAGACACCGGGTGCAGGCTTCCGCGCAGCGCAGCACCGCCCGTCGATGCGTCGCGTATAGGCACCGACATCGCTAAGTTCTCAAAGGTTTTATACAAATGCTATGGCCTTGTACTTTTTAGTTTACTACCAAAACAATCTGTATCCAAGCTTAACCGTTAACAGTAAAAACAATTATTATTTAGATAGAACCCAATAATTTTTTAATAACCAGTTTTGGTTCAGGTAAATTAATCTCTACCTACTTACTTGTTATACTTGCAATACTTTTAATACTTGATTTCTTCATCTTTTACCAACGAAAGTTTAATAGATTGAGGTATAGAACACTAGGCCTAGTAAACACTTTAAAAAGCAATATAAAGCACGTGCACCATACTCTTTGCTCTTCCTTACGTTACAATGTGCTTTCCATTATCTACCACCAATGGGACTCGATTTGTTCCCCGCAAGATTTATACTAACTGCGCCTCGCGGTCAGTAAAGATCTAAATAGTAAACTGAAAAAAATACTAATTAGATGAAACCTAATCATTTGTACATTTCTTAAATTTATTGTTGGTTTTAACTAGTTTATCATTTAAAATAATAATTTATTTAATTATTTCTGTCAATGGCTACACCTATTGACAATTATAAACATGGATACATATATTACATTACATAAAGCTGGGTAAGAAACATACTGAACCCAATGATGAGATGATCCAATTCGCCTATGGGTCTGAGGATGATTGGAGTGTCGAATCGATATCGACGACCACTTACCATCTTTTATGTATATTTACAGTATTGACAGTAACATGTAAATTTATGTTTTAAATGTTATACTATTAGACGTATTTTCTTTTATTTACTTTCCAATTAATTAATGTAATAAGGCATATATCCAAAATTTATAAATAAGTAAGTTAAAAGCTATTTGTGTCCCCAGGCAAGACTATTTACGGGATACATATAGGCAGATTATTCTAATTTCTTAACATATTGTGTAGATGTGTCAATCGATTTGAGGTTTTTTTCGTAAAAATTGGCAGCAATGTGTTACGAATCTGCTTTACGGCACTAATACGTGGTCCAGATCAATCATTTTTAGAGACTCTATACTGTGAATCTTGGAGAGGTTCTGTTCTCTAATATTTTATTGTTTTCATGTTATCTAAAAAATTAGTCAGTATAATAGTTCTTTATTGGTTTTTGGTAGACATTATGCAAACGTTTAACATCGCTAATAAAGAAGAAGGCGCTTATTAAGTGTTTTAAAATCTCCTCTATATAGACTTAATACAAAAGTTAGTTTTAACATTGACTGGTTTTAATTTGTGTTCCTTACCATGATTAAAAATGGCTTATAAATACTACCGACAGTTTTCTACGTTGTTCGTGATATTATTTTAACACAGGCTTACAACTCATGGCAGAGCGAGCAGCCATATTTTATTTGCTAGCGGGAAGCGTGAAGAGAGGGACATTTTAACGATAGGACGCAGTTTGTATCAAGGATTAGTAAGTCGACGAACAATTTTTACTGACCGTGAGGTGATTCATTTATTCACGGTTTAGCTTGGAAACAGATTGTTTTGGTAGTAATGTAGGCTACGAATTAGGAAGTCTTAGGATTTATATAAAACAGTTGAGAACTTAGTGGTGTCGGTCCTTATTAGGCTATGTATCGACGGACGGGGCTGCGCGGATGCTGATGACTAATCAAATATATATTTATAAACCTTAAGAAACATACTAAAATTTTTGTTTGTAACATTTTGCGTATTTTATTTGGAAAAAATATATAGAGGGTAAAACAAAATTGTGAACTAATAAACATAAACATTATATAAAAAAATTTTTTAACGTTATATCTCTTTGGATTTACTTTTATATGAAAATCTTTAGTACAACAGTTGTAGATAAACTAATTATAAATAATACTAAACCAAATTTCACTACATGGCATGCGTAGAATTTGAATTATATCCAGTAAAGTTAACAACTGATATTTCCAGGTTTGGAGGGGGTTGGAGGGGGTGGGGGGGGGGGGAGATTCAGGAACTTTTTGCAAAATACACGTCTTAAGTGGTTCTATCACATATAACAAACTCAGCTTTCCACTATTTAGCGACGAAAAAAGGCAGTTGGTGCGTTTATTGGCTGGGCTAGATGCAATGACGCAGCGCAGAGGTGTTCAACTAGCGCGCACGCGCTCACTTTGCCGACGCTCAGCTCTTCACCCGGTCACCTAGATGACTAACCAATAATATATTTGTAAACCTTGAAAAACGTACTAAAACTTTTGTTTGGACCATATTTGCGTATTATTTATATTTAAAAGTATACATAGAGAAAAACAAGACTTTGCACTCTGAAACAAAGCTTTTAATGAAGTTTAAATTTTATATCTCCCTAAGTATTGGTTTTAGAAAAATGTTGTAAATACAAAGGTTGTAGTAAAACTAATCAGAAATAAAACAAAACAAATTGCAGATCGATAGCTTACATAACATTCGAATTACGATCAATTAAGTAAATCACTGCAATTTCTATGTTTGGAGGGGGGTGGGGGGGAAAGCTCAAGGAGTATAAGTGGGGACTTCTGGGAAAATACACCTCTCATGTGGTTCTATCACATATAAAAAATCCAGCTTTCCACCATTTAGTTGCGATAAAAAACATTTATTGACTGGGCTACTTGGAAAGACCATTATTTAAAACTGTATTTCATGAAGATGAAAATCGTCATTCGAAATGTTAAAACGAAACGAGTAAGAGAACTGTCAATCCATCAATGTTGAAATTAAACATAAAATTGATCTGTGTGAGTCAGCAAGAGTAATTGCTGCCAAATGTAACGGTACTGAAACGTTGCGTTTGGCCTTACAGTATTGCGAACTCACCATGAAAGTTATAGTCGCGGTTTTACTAATTGTAAGTACTAAACGATTAATTGTACTCTATATTCCAATGATTTCGATTAATTGTACTCTATATTCTGGTGATTTAGATTAATTATACTATATACTGTGACGATTTCGATTAATTGCACTTTATATTTCGATAGTTTCAGTTAATTGTACTCTATATTGCGATGATTTTGTATCCACACTAAGCACTAATCTCTTATATGCGTTTTCTGAATAATTGTTTATTAGTTTTTGAATCAGAGGTATCAGATAAAGAAATGTGCTTAGTGTCCACGTAAGCACATGGACGAACTTAAGTTATTTGATTAAGTATTTTTTTTACTTAAATTACCCGGGTCTTAGTAGGGAACATAAAAAAGTGCAATGATTTATCGAATCCTAGAGCTAACAAGTTATTACAGTAGGTGGCATAGGAAGACTTAGTTGCTAGACCACTTAATGTTTGTCATTTAAAAAGATTCTGGACGTCCCCAGAGTCCAGAAACGTTATCCGTTAAAATGTATATACAGGGTGTCCCACGAAGAGGTTTAAACGTTTGATTTTTGAATACTTGTAATTTATGAACCGAACATTTTAAAACTTAACACAACTTAAATTATGTTTGACAAATATTCTGGGAACATTTCAACTCCTTTTTAGGAACAGAATTGTAGTATATTAAAAAATTATAATTTAAAAACATTAAATGTGTTTAGGCAAAGAAATGGGCAAGAAATATAAAATCAAACGTTTAATCCTCTTCGTGGGACCCTGTAGGGTGAGTTTCAATTGTCCCTATCCAGCTTTTTTCTACAGTTTTTCAAATATCAATCCCAGACCACTTTCAAACATTGTTGGTCGGTAAGTACTTAATTTGACAAGGTGGTAATTTCTAGCCAGCTGCCATCTTGGATTTGCCATATTGGATACAAAATATTTATTTCAAATGTAAAGGTGGGGTTGTCACCCTTTATATTCTATTATATTCAACAGATTTATATATTCCTCAAGCCAGGCTAACAAAATTTATCAAAAGTTATAAATATTTGCAATTAAAACTATTTAATAAACTTCCAATATATTTTAGAAATCAGGAAAGCATTCATTTGTATAGGTCAAAATTATCAAGTCGTGCTTTTAGCGAATTTCCCATGTAGGGAATAAGCTATTACCTTAGTACTCATGGTAAGACCTGGACCCGGGACCGATTTACTTTTTCGTTTTGAGGTCCCTAGAGGCCAAAAACACCATCCGTTCAAATTCATATATATATAATATATTTTTATATATATTTATATATTGTATTTGATATTGTTCACGTTTAGGGCTACTGTAATTAATATTAATAAATAATACACCATAGTACCCTTTTTTAAATTATTTTTAATGATTGATGCATTTCGACACTAAGGTCATGGTCACAGTCTTTCACAATGTTATTAAATCTAATATATATATATATTTATATACATATATATATGTGCCCGTTAGCACGACAACTCGAGCAAAAATGATCCTATTTTGATGAAATTTGGTACAAACGTGTAAACCTACATTTATTCGAACGAGTTCGCGAACCAGCATGATCGGACTATGGGAACGGGGTTTTATGGGGAAAAATAGGTTTTTCCCATTTTTGACCCTAAAAACACAAAATTTCGCAATTTCTTTCCTAACCATTTTGTAGAGCATAAAAAACATATAATTTCGTATATTGAAGCGTTATTGTGCGCCTAATGGTTACGGAGAAAATCCCAAAAAATTGTAAATTTTAAATTCCTATGTTATTCTTAAGGAGAATATGTGGCTGTTGTAGTTTGCTTGTTTATGAACATATTTTGATCGAATTTGGAAAAAAACATTCATTTCTTACTAAACTATTAACATTTTACAAAAAAACACTTTTTTAACCTCACTGTTGCCGCAAACCTAAGTACTCGTTAAACTAATTCTATTTAAATAGGAAATAAATGTGATATTTTTATGGAGGCATTTTAGTGTAAATCCAATCAGGTTAATGGAAATTCGCTTAGTCTGCAGGTTTGCTGCGGCGGGGGTATTTATTCATTCGAGGAGTTTTTGCAGAACGTAGATTTTTCAACTCTTAAATGTGATTCCAAGCAGTCTTGATGATTCTTTGTTCTTGTTATGGTTTTCCTCCTGTTAATTTAAAAGTTTTGTATTATTACTGATGATTTATCCTTTTAAGATTCATTTAACTTTATTTTAACATTTTCTGTTGTAGCCCATTTAATATTTTATTTAACATATGTAACGAAACATGTAACAAATGTGACCTTGTCTATTGTAATTTTATATTACCAAATCACAATAAAGATTTATTATTATTATTATTTCAAGCTAGTTACCCTGGCCCAAATACTTGTACCCTGATTACAATGCTACAATCCATTTTTAAAATATTGATCCATTCCAAAGTTATCTTTTATCGGTCGACAATGACTAGTTGGGTATACTTATATTTATGTACTACTATTTTGAGATTATTGTCTCAGTTTGTAAATGCACAATGTCAAAATGGGCAAAAAAGTTATAAAAAGTCCTCGTAACTTTGGAATGGATCAATATTTTGAAATCGGATTGTAGCATTGTAATCAGGGTAAAAATATATTTTGAAATAATGGGTCACAACCCCACCTTTACATTTAAAATAACTATTTTGCAGCCAATGTGGCAAATCCAAGGTTTGAAAAACTGTAGACAAAATTTAGAGGGGGCAATTAAAACTCACACTGTATATATAAAGGATGATTTTCAGCCTGTCTGTCTCTATGTGATTTTACAAATGAATCCATAGATATTGAACCCTTTAAGCTATTAACTTCCTAATTCAAAAGAAGCGGTGACTGGTATGACACAAGTTTACACAAAAGAATGATTTTGAATGTGGATTTTGAATAAGCTCATTTAATTTGTATATCTTCAAAATATAAGAAACGAGTAATTCCGCTAAGTTACTATCAGTTTTTTTTTCGTCGAGTCTATTTTATTTTCACTGTAAGAACAAAAATTATTTTCTCTTAGTGAGTCAACTTATTGCTATATATTTTGAACTAATATTTTAATTTCAGTTAAAGTAAGTAAAGTAAAGTAAAATAAAATATTAAAAGAATGGTAAACTGTGGCTTCAAAACCCTTTGCCCGAGGTTATTTTAATGTTTTCTTAGTAATAAAAAAATACAATTTTTATGTTTTACTTGTTATGTGTGTTAAAACAGAAAAAAACCCTATGTGTTTTCGTTTGGTCTATAATATAAGTACTTTTAATCTATCTTATGGGATTTTAGGTTATACTGGACTTGAAAACGATTGATGCAGACCTGGAGGATGTTAAGGTATAAAAATCCTAAGCAAAAAATATATTAAATAATTACATATAATAAGTTTTTTTTACAAACCTGTAAACCATCACATTCATGCACTCACATTATTTACATAAGATAAAGAAAAAGTAATTGACTTCCCAACCACGAGAGCTTTTAATCTGTCGTATGATTTGTCCTCATGATAATTTTAGCTATTGTTTGTTTGGGATATTGATAGCTTGGTTTAAACACACTGGTAGATTTGGATCGGCTGAAGCCAATTTTAATGTTAGTTCCGTGCAATGTCTGTAGGGTCGTGTTTTTTATTACATTTTTTTCTTGGTAATTTAGTTACTTCAAAAGTATTTTAGTAAGAAAAATATGTAATTAATAAAATAGCCCCTCCTTTAATTTTTATAACCAAACAGTAAATCACAAATCTTAAACTTAACCCCAAGATAATAGATTTATAAGAAAATAGGTTTACCATATTTATAAGTTACTGTATTTTAATAAATTAGGATTTTCAGATCACATTTTTGAGCTGAGACGGCCTGACGTGTTTGGTTAACTTAAAATTTAGATTCAAAATAAATAATTTGAATGTAACTTGTAATTTGAATGTACAAATGCAAAAATTACTCAAACTAAAATGGTAAGTCCAGAACAATAAGTCAAACGATTAAAACCATCCAGTTCTCCAAGGAAAGTGGTAAGATATCACTCATTGACTATTTGTTCCATAAATTGAGACTGGTAAGCAACCAAAATTCAGATCATCTGCCTGCTTCCATCTATCCCCAATATTTATAAGTACCTACCAGAACGTAAAAGTATGAAGCCTAAGTTTTGTTCAACGTTTCACAGTATCGTCAACAGTTATCATTAAATTGACCCGGATATATAAGTATGCTATTTTTACCTCAGAAGATCTTATGAAATATAACAATCCATAGCAGATTTCCTCTTATCAAGCTAAACCTATCAAATCGGATAGTCGTGGTTAGAAGGTAAGGTAGACAATTATGTAAGTTAGCCTCCAAAAGTAACACTCTAAAATAGTTCTAAATAGAAAAATAAAATTGAAATAATTAATAAGATTTTACAAAGTATCCGCCAATGTAAAAATATTTCTTTTAGCCCCATGAAGTGAGTAAAGAGGAAGAAGAAAAAGCATTGGAGGCAATGGCAATTGTAGACAAGGATGGTGATGGGAAAATCTCAGTCGCTGAGCTACAATTGTTAATGAAAAAAATAGGAAAAGATGTCAGCCACGATAAAGCTGCAGAAATGCTTAAGAAGGCTGATATTGACGGTAAGATCACAGTGATTGTGGGAAGGAATGCGGCAACGTTATTTTTACACACATAATGTTTTTAACTTGCATCTTTATTTATGTAAAAACCACAATAGATAGAAATATGCAGTTTGCGGGAATCATCTATTGACGTAGGGGGCCCAATTGTTTTGAATTCAACGTTACATTCACATTCCCCCCTTCCCCCCCTGCCCACAACTTTTTTTTTTAATAGCAAGGTAGCCCTTGTGACATATCAAATGAAAGAGCATGAAAAAATAAAATGTTTGGTGAAAAAATTGAAAAAATCGACTCATAAATTTGTGAGATATTTCACCCCCTTTCTCACCCTACCCTTAACTTAAAATTTTGAAATTGCGAGATATCCCTTGTGACATATCAAATAAAAGAGCACGAAAAAAGAAAATGTTTAGTGAAAAACATTTTAAAATTGGCTCATAAATTTGTGAGATATCCCCCCCCCTCCCCGGAACTTATTTTTTTTTATAGCAAGGTACCCCTTGTGACATATCAAATAAAAGAGCATGAAAAAAGAAAATGTTTGGTGAAAGATGTTTGTATTTAGCTTATAAATTTGTGAGATATTTCACCCCCTTTCTCTCCCTTCCCTTAACTTAAAATTTTGGAATTGCGAGATATCCCTTGTGACATATCAATTGAAAGGGCATGTAAAAAGAAAATGTTTGGTGAAAAAATCTTTGTAATCGGCTTATAAATTTTTTTATATTTCAAAAAAATGTCAATCCCTCGTGATATTTCAAATGAAAGGGTATGAAAAAAATCATTTCTGGTGAAATTATTTTTGAAATTAGATGATATATTTGGGAAATATTGCAATCCCTATCTCCCCCACCTTATTATTTTAAAATTTATCATAATTTTCATACCTCATTACGTGTTAAAGGAAGTTTTCAAAATGTCCACCATTTTTCGCCATACAATGGTAAAGCCCGTTTTCAAACTCAGCTCTCACTTTTTGGAATGTGTCTCTTCTTAGAGCCCTTCATTCAATTTCTATTCGATTTCTGAGATCCACTAAATCAACGGGTGGGTTTTTGTAGACTACAATTTTTAAATGCCCCCACAAAAAAAAAAAAACTCAATGGCGTAAGATCTGGCGATCTTGCGGTGCGTCCAATCCATCGGCCAGCAAAATGTAGATTTAACTAGTCCCTTACGTTCTTTCGATAGTGGCTCCATCTTGTTGAAAGACGAAATTCTCATCATGGTGTTTTCAATTATGTCCGTGATGAGAGGCTCGTTAGACTCTTGCAGCAAGTTTAGATGTTTGTCTCCATTCAAATTACCTTCAAAGAACAATGGACCGACAATAGTGTCTCCAAAAATCCCTGCCCAAACATTTAACTGTAGTGTATGGGAATTTCCTTCAGTAAATGCATGAGGATTAGTGTCACTCCAGTAGCGACAACTATGTTTGTTAACAAAACCGTTAAGGAAAAAAGTGCACTCACCTGAAAAGCAGATGTTCTTCACTGATATTTCGTTATTTGTTATCATTTGACTCATTTGTTCGAAAAATTGCAGCCTCCTATCCGAATCGTCTTCGTACAACTCCTGTAAAATCTGAACTTTTTTTGTAGGGATGATTTTTTTGCATTTTGGTTACTTTACGTACAGAGCTAATTGATAAACCAGTTTCGGCAGCAACTTTACGAAGAGAGCTTGACGGATCTGCTGTAAAGTGAAGCAAAACCTCAATTTCAGATACACCATCAAGAACTCGTACTCCACTCCTCTTAATGTTACCTACTGATCCAGTTTCACGAAATTTACAAACTAATTGTTGTACATATTGATGGGAAAAATTTCAATTTGGATACCACTCATTAAACACTCTTGCTGTAGATATTGCACTCTGGTTCTGAGAACCGAAAATAAAAATTATTTCCTGCAACGTTTACACTATTCTGCAACTAGACAACTTCACAACCAATAAATAAAATATTAATTACATTCAGTTTAATTAAAAATCGTACAACAATAAGTGAACAGTTACTTAAAGAACACAAGAATGCTAACTAATCCCACTCGTATTGGCTTTTAAAAGAGCAAGTAAACTAAGGTTGCTTGGAAATTCCAAAAATCCTCAACCAGTGAAAGTGTTGATCCTTACCACACATTGTCATAGTTATTTTTATCTGTTTTTTCACTTTCAAAATTAACAATTACATTGTTATTAATGCTACATTTTTCTTCAACAGTTTTTAATGTTTTAACTTAAAAGTAAATTACAGTATCATTAATAATGGCAATTACGTAATATCTAACAACACAATATGGCTTAAGCTGTAAGTATTAATAACACATCCTGAAATATCTTACAAATTTAGAAACCGATTTCAAAAATTGTTTAGTAAAAAATGTTCTATTTTCGTGATCTTTCATTTGATATGTCACAAGGGATATCTCGCAATTCCAAAATTTTAAGTTAAGGGAAAGGAGAGAAAGGGGGTGAAATATCTCACAAATTTATAAGCTGAATAAAAATATTATTTCACCAAACATTTTCTTTTTTGGTGCTCTTTTATTTGATATGTCACAAGGGGTACCTTGATAAAAAAAAATTTAGTTCCGGGGAGGGGAGGATATCTTACAAATTTATGGGCCAATTTTAAAAATTATCTTTTTTCGTGCTCATTCATTTGATATGTTACAAGGGATATCTCGCAATTTCAAAATTTAAGTTAAGGGTAGGGAGAGAAATCTGGTGAAATATCTCACAAATTTATGAGCCGATTTTCAATTTTTTTCACCAAAAATTTTATTTTTTCATGCTCTTTAATTTGATACGTCACCTTGCTATCAATTAAGTTGTGGGCAGGGGGAAAGGGGGTTATTGTGAATGTAACGTTGAATTCAAAACAATTGTGCCCCCTACGTCAATAGATGATTCCCACAAACTGCATACTGTATTTCTATCTATTGCGGTAATAAAGATGCAAGTTAAAAAAAAAAAACACTCTGTATATATATATATATATATATATATATATATATATAGGGTGTTTCAGAATTCGTGTCGGATATTATAGGATACCATTCCTGGGTAAGAAACATATCCAAATATCATATTTAAATTTTACAGAGTCCTTAGTTACTCACACGTTTTTCATTTAATTAGTTACTCACTCGTTTTTCATTTATTAATTGCTTTCTAAAAAATGGTAAAATATATGAAATTGAAACTTTGCACAGACATTTATGACAACTAGACAAAGCCACAAAAAGATTACGACAATTTTAAAATTCATAAAACAAAATGGCGGCCATTTAAAGTTTTGTTTCTTAAATAACTCAAAAATCGTTGATTTTACAAAGCTTTTACACGGATAACTTTTTTAAGGCAATTCAATTACAAATCGATTGACGCCAATTTTTTTTAGATTAGACGAATATTACTGGGATATTGCAGCTTTAGTGATACGTGACCGCCGGAGGTTAGTTGTAGTGCATGCCGAGGCATGCGGCTAAAGTCTGCCACAACAATGCCCATAAGACATCCTAATGATGGATAATTGATAAAAAATACACTTTTGGGGTTGTGTAATATTTTATTATTGTTTAAAATAATCTAAAATCACTTAAAAATAACCTGCAAAGCGGACGGAGACTGTTGCATTGTTGTGGCAGACTTTAGCCATTGTTATGTGCAAAAACAGACGACGCTTCCAAGGAGAAACAAGAAAACGAAATCAACCTGCTATAAATGTGATTGGACAATATACAAAAGAAAATTGATTGCAAAGGACATCATAACGACCCTTCGATAATTGCATCGAATAGTTCGAATTGTAATGACATTGACAATTACCAACAAGAACTGCGGGATATACGTTCCTCACAAAATGGCGGATAGCGTTTTGGAACTTCAGAGACTGACGAAGTTCCTAGAGTAAAGCGTGGTGAACATTAATTAAATAAATAAAGATCCTAACGAAGGCCTTGCAGGTCTGGAGCCATCTGACAATTGTTGAAAGGAAGTGAAGCGCAATATACGTGGACGAGGCGCCAGAAGCGGCGTTGGAAGAAGACAGGACTTGCCAAAAAACTGATACTGACTGGGCCTAATGCAGCTCAAAATTTCCAAAGTGAAGTTAAGGTAGATAAAATATCGTATAAATTGGCTTTAGAGGAGGGAAGACAAGCTACCAAAAACGTTGCCGGGCATACACCAAGCCTATAGTTGGAACAAGTGAAACCAAGAACGTACAGTATGCCTCTCCAGTGGTGAAAGGAGAGCATGGCTACATCTAGGTAGGCACGCCAAAAAAGGAGGAACATCGGAGATAGAAATAAGTTAATTCATTAATAGATCTTTCCTCGAAATAGACTGTGTCGTAGAAAAAATTGAAAGTAAGGGTTTAAATTGTAGTTTTAAAACTAGGACTACTCTTTGAACAGTTTTTTATCTCATCCTTATCTACTCCTCAACCATCTTGGCCTAGGCCTAACCTCAATCTAGCTTTTGTCAATGTCCAGTGCTTGCGTAATACAGTCAGACTTATATATTCGTTGAGGATAAATCACTTGATGTACTAGAAAAAGCTAACACTGGCTGGAATCAAATAAAGTATAATTTTACTGGGGAAATCAGAAGATGAATTATGCCACCGGTTATTGTAGAAAGAACCATATCCATGGTGGTGTGATGCTGTATATTAAAATGTATATTAAACCACTTTACCTTCCTCAATTTTGTTTTAAGATGCATATAGAAGTATGTGGTGTGGAATTGCTGGATCAGAATTAGGTTATTGAATCCTCCTATAGGCCACCGAGTGGGGTCATAGATATTTTTCTTGACAGCCTAGATTTTTTCTCAGCTCCATAAATAGACAAAATGGACATTGTGCTGGGTGGAGATTTTAATATTGCCTTCAACATGCCCTCAGCACTACCCGAGAACCTGGAAACCGCACTATGTGGACATGGTTTGTTCATCACAAATCGTGCGCCCACGACGTGGGATAGATGTATAGACCCGATTGCCTCAAACTTGATACATGGGACTACAGTGCGGGGGTACCTTGATGGTCAATTACCGACCATCTGCCAGTGCTGATTAGTGTAAAGAAAACAACATAGGTGATTAAATCATCCTCTATTCCATGGCATGACAACTATGTATTTCATAAGAGAATTGTGAGTGACCAACTGCTACCTCAGTTTAAGGAAGCCTTGGGTAAAATAGACTTGGCCCTGGTCCTAGATAACCCAGACCCAGCATCCTCCTTTTAAGCTTTCCACGGTAAACTACTGGAAAAGTTTTAAGTTTCCATTTTCCGCTCTTAAATAAATCCAAGTCTGTCATGGCCAAAGCATCGAAGTAACGCATGCATTGCCAAGGACTAGTATACACCCGAGTTGGGCAGGGACAGAGCTTACATACAACTGATATTTGATAGATATAAGGCTGAGCAATATCCTGATGCAAAGGACAACGTTTACTCTTTGTATCTGAAAACGAAGCGTGATTAAAAATACCGGGTAAATAAGGAAAAAAGGGCAACTGTAGTACCAGTACGCATTCAGAGATTTTTGAAACAATGTAAGGCAGCATGGTCAGTAATAAATGACTCGAGTAAGAAAATAAAGTAGTCAACACACTTTCTAGTTCAGATGACTATAACCAGTTTTTTGCCGACTCAGTAAAAGACATAACTGAAAAACTGAGCAGACAAGCCGTTGGAAACTGGAGTGGAGAAATCGGAGTCCAGGTGCAGCCACTGACCTCCTTAGAGGAATGGAATCTTACTACCAAGGAGGGAAGGAGTATGTAATTAAAATAGTTAAATCTTTCTCCGTATCAAGAAGTCCATGTATCTACGGAATTTCACCTTGGATCCTCTCCTCAAGTCTGTAATTAATGGATTATCTCTGCCTCTGTCTGAGGTGATAAAAAGGTGTCTAAGGGTGGGACTTTTCCCAGACTGAGTTAAAATCTCAAAGACTATACCTATTTTTAAAAATCTTACCTCAAGTTATAAAGCAATTTCAATAATCCCGACTGTGGGGAAGATAATAGAGAACATAGTACAAAGAGAGATAGTCGACCATTTTGAAGTAAATCAAAATTTACAGCCTATTTTACAGCCTCCCAAAACGGGTTTCGGAAGTCAAGATCAACAACAACAGCCCTAGTCTCCTTGATCAGTGAGGTACTGGACTCCTTTGAAAATAAAGTCAATGGCTCTGGTCCTCTGCAACTTGTCGAAAGCCTTCGACATTGTCTCCCATGACATACTGCTGGAGAAGCTGGGCTTGGAGTTGGCAGAGTGGCCCTTCAGACCTTCAAATCCTTACTAGAGGGTAGAAGTCAGATTGTTGCTGTGTAGGGCGCACTGTCCTCCCCAGTAGAAGAGTTTCGTAGGGCTTAGTAGTTGGCCCAACTCTCTTCCTGGTACTTATGAACGACATAGGCTGGGAGAGAGATGCACTACTATTTGCGGATGGTACAACCCTATTGGGCAGGGGGCAAGATCCTACTACGACGGTCGCCTGTTCAGAACATCGTTTCCAAGAGCCTGATGACTTCGGCTGAGGCTTCGTCATGGACCCCAAAGTTCAGTAGGGCCTTCATAGTAATTCTGTCTGTGTGAGATTAAGCAGAGCAATCTTCCTCTTGAAAAAGCTGAAACGTCAGGTAACTACACAGTACCTGCTGACAGTCTTTTTCGTTTTTTCACAGTCGTTTGGCCAACGGCATTCAACTGTGGGGACATGCCGCTGACAGCAGTCGTGTGCTTCGCTTGCAAAAACAGGCACTACGAGTAGTTACAAATAGCAGGAGGCGGAAGCTATGCAGACCCCTTTTTAGATTGTTAAACATCCTTACAGTCTATAATCAGTACATTCTTGCCTGTGTTGTTCACATCAAAGCCAACCTGAGCAATTCTGAACTCCGAGGCCAGCGCAACTCTCACAACGTTAGAGGAGTACAGAATCTGAATACACAGCGATACAGACTGTCCCTGACAATAGATAGCTTCCCAGCAGTTGCTGTACCATTAGAGTTTAATGCGCTACCACTCTACCTGGGAGAGCTTGAGACTAAACTATTTAAGGAAAAGATCAAGGAGATCCTCCTGCAAACCCCGTACTACTCCGTTGACGAGCATTTTGAGAAGGCACCAACTCTTGACCACCCACCACCACCTAACTAAAGCTTAAGTTGTGAATGGTTTTTTTAGAAAGTTTTATTTTTAAATGACTATGTCTATCCTGCACTGGCTGGTTAAACACGAAGAGGAGGTGATCAGGTAGTCAGGAATTAATTAATTGAATACATTATAGCAGTCTAGTATGTCCAAACTGGAACTATCAACTTTAACGAGTACTTCTAAAATATTTTATTGAGCAGAATGGATTAAATTGAAATACATGTTTAGTAAAAACATAAAGTTATAAAATATTATGGCTTTATATTCTATGTTGTTTATAATAAAAACGAGGCTTAAAATATTAAAATGTATTTATCTCCTCAGTATATGAGGCCAAAGATAAAAAAAGGCCCTCTGCGATTAAAAACATGCCTAATTCTCCAAATTCAAATTATTCTTAAAAAAACTTTGTTTTGGAGAGGGCATTTTACTCATTAGAAGAATATCTGGAGGATATGTACATTAAAAAGATATTATGTACCGGTATCCCTTAATAACCATAGCATATTTATTGCTTTATTTCTTTTGTATTTTATTATATAGATTTATCAGTGTAGTTTTAGACCTAATGAGAAATCACCTGTCAAGAGAATTTATGTACTGTGATGATGTATATATAAATAATTTTGAAACAGGGAACGGTAGCGTCAACGTATCGGAGTTAATGCAGTACCTTAAATGATCTGTTTGGGAAGAATTCAAAAAAGCAGTTGATGAATTATTTCCATTTCTTGATAAAAATAATGATGGAGCTATTGATCGTGATGAGATCAAAACCTTTTATAGAAAAATGAAACAAGATTTAAGCGATGAAGAAGTCAATGATATGTACAAAAAGGCAGTCAAGGACAAGAACGGACAGATAACCAAAAACGGTAAGAAACTTCAATAGTTTGCAGTTGATTAGATTTTATAAGGGACATTTTTTAGCTTCTAAGTTCAATTTAGGAAGTCTTAGACCCTGTACACATGGGAGCGTTGCAACGCGCGTTAGGGCCATATCATACGAGCGCTATTGCCGTCGCGCCGATGCCGTCGCGTTAAAGTCGCTCCAACCCGGCAATGGGGTTTTTTTACGTGTCGCGCGTTGCAACGCGCGTCCTAGAAACACAGCAATCTTAGGTAAAGTGTAACCACTCCATTTTTTCGCATACATAGTCTCTTTGAAGATATAATTTGAGTAGTACATTAGTAGTTGACTCATTGTAGTGTTCCTTCCGTTAACATTTCAGAGGGCCGAGTAGGTGTTGTCGACATTTACGACCTTAGGACCATAAACGCATAATCCGTAATTGCAACAACGATTTTGGTTGGTCCCTTTAGCAGGTAGCTCTATTGCGGGTCAAGGTGGCTTAAACTTAATTGAAGAATCGTAATGATGTTTAATAAAAGCTGGTCTATCACCATCAACTGTGTACAATTTCGGTCTACAATTTACTTGTCTGTCCGATAGCTAAACCAGTAAACTAGCCAGTATAAACTGGCTGGAATTAATTCTGTTTTATTACTGTTAATGGTGAACGAGAGTCCCTAGACTAATCCAGTGTTGGTAAAGGGGTAGTTATGAAAGTGTTGGTAAATATTTCCCAAGCAACATTTTACATTATTATTTGTGTTCCAGAATTCTATTGGATCCATTTAAGACACTTCAAGCCACAGCCTCCACAGCCCCCTTCCAAATCTGTTGTAAGCAAATTTTTCAGATGGACAAAAGGCAATTTCTCTTCATTGGCAAAAAAGCTCACGAGCTAGAAATCTTGCACGACAAGCTTCAAAACTAGACATTGTTCATTTTTTAAACTATTTATAAGATTTTAAAAAGTGTATTTTAGTTCGGAATTTCAATTATGATTTTCCTGGTGGTTTTCAAACTTGTTCTGTCAAGAAAGGCTAGAAAAATAAAAGTGTGATACTGTAAAACAAATTTGAGTAAGAAACCTTTTAAAACCAAAAACCCAAAGACTTTTGTAAAATCTTAGATTTATTTAGAATTTAAATACTTAGTACGGTAACCCAAAGTTGCACATGAAATCTGATATAAAAAAATAGGCAGTTTATTTCCCAGCTTTAAATTAATTTGTCCAATGGTTAATCAAACAAAATTATTAAAAACTGCCAAAGCAGTTAGTTTAAAATATAGTAGGGTTACCAAAAATAATGTAAAAGATATTTACTTTCAAAGTAGATTTTTAACTAGATCGATCTTACACTTAACCTGTACAAAGGAATTGGCATAAAACAATGTGTTTGATATTGCATTAAGTATTGAAAATCTTTTGCAATGTTGATAGTAAATGTGGAGTGTTTGTGAGTATTAATGAAATATTAGGAGAGAAAAAAATAGTAAACCATGTTTACAAGAAGACCAGAAAGGAAAGGAATGTTTATTTACATAATACAATGGATTATCTTTAAATTATCAGCTGTTTTAGTAATTTAAAAATTCTAAACGGGCTAAAGAAAAATTTTAGATAAAAGAACTGAACAGTAAATGCATTTCAAAATCTCTCTCGCAGATTAAATCCATACAAACTAAGTTCGATACCATGCTGACAAATGTACCCAAATCAACCTCCAGAGTGGTGTAAAACAAAAAAACTTTACCCTCTCGCGGGCTTTTCTTTAAAGTTTTACAGATGTAGGTGCGCCATTTCCCTTATTTATTGGTTCTATGTTTCATCTGGCTCCAGGCAACTCAATGGGGTCCTAAAATGTTCCAAACATGATAATATTAAAAATATTTGAATTGTAACTTACAGCACCAATCTTGTATTACAGTACTGGCTAACAGCATTTTTTGCACAAAGTTGGCATTATGATATAACATTTTGTAATATTAAATGTGTATGGTGTACATAACAGATTTTCATACATATTTAATGACAGGTATTTTTTAACTATGTTGAAGTTTTTGTGTATATATTGATTACTAAACAAAGTACGGTATATGATGTCATATTGTTATGACTGTATTTTAATAACGGGTGGTCCATAAATACCGGACGTTTATACAAATGAATTAGAGGTTAGGAAAATAACATTATTCCTTTATTAATACAGCTATATTACACACACTATTGTATGTCGATTTCATTTATGAAAAATAGTCGTTACAAGTATAAATAGTACAAAACAATTGCTATTATCAAATTATTCAGGTATAAACAACTTAAATTTGGTAAAAACATGTATACATGTTACGTATAAATGTTTCATGTCTGCTACGGAACTTGGGCTATTTACATTTTACTCTTGTAATATCAATACAAAAAAGTCCAACTTTTATCCAAAACTATACTGGCATAACCTTTTTACATTTTAAGATAGAAAACACGAATTACATGACTATCAAGGATAACATTTTTAAAAAGCCATTCAATTTTCAGTTTGGAGTATTTGAGCTTCATCACTTGATAGGTTTGTCAAACATTTCATATTTTTTACGTTTCTAGTACACATCTAATCATAATCTAATCTATCCATTGAGTTTCAAACATTTTTAGTACTTATAGTCAGCTGATCATGAATGTTTGTTAAGCGAAGAAAGGAAAACACCAATAAAATACAACCTAAATCACTCGTCTTCAGCAGCGATAGCAGTATTCATAACTGAACAACATGAATATGAATTACTTCTATTGTTGAACGTTCCATCATTGAATTGGGAATGTAATTTGTTCTATAAAGTGTACAATAACTGTCAAAATATGTTTTGTGATTTAAAAATATTTCTTAATTTAATTCTAAAGTTTAACAAAGACAGATTAGATCAGTTCTAGATTGTATGTGTCAAGTATGAACAAGTGTTGTGTGTGTTTTAAAACATTTTCTACTCAATTAGACATTTTGTACTGAGTAGTCTTACTGACAGTATTCTACAAAAACATAAACACAGTTTTCGATACTTTATCTGTTTATTATTAGGTATAAGGGGTTTACACACCTTTTCTATCCGTTACTGTGGTTTTGATACGATGGATTTTAAAGACACATCTCACAAGATTGTCAATTGTCATGGACCACCTTTAAGATTGGTTTTACAGTTTCAGGTATTTATGGACATTTTGAAATAAAAAATATATTTCCAAAGAACTCCGTGTTCGTATTGTGAATGAACAGCATCTGGTGTGAGGAGTCGTGTTGAGGACGTGTCGTTACGTCACGTACAACCACTCCTCTGCCTATTACGACTCTGCGAAGAGAAGATTACAAAATATCAATCGTGTTTGAGATTCTCTGCCTACTAAGCAGTTACTCAAACTGAGCTTTCTATTGCAGAGACAACGGACGTGTCATGAACTGTGTTTGATTTAAGGTTGGGCAGATTTCTCTGGTTGAGCAAAAAATGTTTTTATTGTAGGAATATTTATAATTTTGCATTGCTCGTAGTCTAGAGGTAGTGCAATAAATTGCAAACCTTGCAAATTGTTTTAATCCTCTTAAACGTTAAACCAAATCGTGTAAAGTTATTTCCAACTTAAAACTGAAAGGTTAGTTTGTGTTTTAAAGATCACCTGATCCTGAGTAAGTGGTTTTTGATGGTTCGAAACCAGAGCCAGCTGTTCCAGATGATTAGGCTTTAAATAAATTATCTTTGCTAATGAAACAGCTGATCTTAGTCAGTAACAAAGCTACACAGATCATCCGTTCTATACTCATTGTTCACTCATATCTGGGTTAAATTGCGCACCTAGGTGGCGTCTTTATATCAATGATTGATAATTTATAATTGAATACATATTTAAAAAAAGTTTAGGCAAAAAGCTTGCTACTTCAAACATTAATCACTAATTCTTTTTTATTTTGAATGACTTCTTGGTTTTTACTAATCCTGTTAGTGTTAGCCCCTTGAACACTAATCGTCATTTTAACATCTATTGTGTGTAAAGTGGGCGTTAAGTACAGTATGAATGAAAGTGGTACGGTTGCAATCGATTTGACAAAATAAAAATTTATTTCCTAATTTTCATAAAATAAGATAAGTATATTGAGTAGGGCTGGAAAAGGTAACGTGGTAGAGTGCTTCGTGTAGTACTGTACAACATTGCTTTACTTGTTGAAACCACATATTACAATCTCTTCTAATACATTAGCGCTGCTTCCGGATTTTCATTAAACACCGTTGAAACTATAAACTAAATTATTGCTCTAACTTCTAAAACCTCTTTTACTAGTTTAATAATGAAGGTTCGCTGAAGTTGTGGTAAATATATAGCTAAATATTCTACAGCAACCAACTATTTTAAGAAGGAATAGGTGGAGCTATATGTCTATATGGTTAGATTAGTTATTACATGATTTTTTCGTAAACACTAAGCTAATATAAAAATAATTATAAGTATTAAGAGGGGAATTATATTTGTACTAAATGGAAATACGATTACTTTCAGCTATGTAACAAGAAAACTAATAAAAAAATAATAGGAATGAAAGATTAAATAAATATCATAATATATTTGTAAAATACTACTATTGTTATAATGTGTTTTTATGACTTCCAAGTATTATCCAGGAAATGGTAGTAATTTCAAAACAGAAAACTCCAAATAAAAGAAGGAAATTAGTTTTTTATGTTGTTTTACGATGTTGTAGTTGAATAATATGGTAATATCAGCAAAACATTGATGACAAATAAGAAAATATATCAATTTCTGTCGAGTACAAATGAAACAACAGTCTTAATTACTTATACTTACTTTTCTAATCTTTGTTACAAAAAAAGCTAAAGCTATAAATATTTTCAGGTGGAAGGGAAACGGATCCAATTATGACAGAAATTTGTTTACGTCATTCCAAGCTTCTTGCCTTCAACTAAGCCTAATGTTCTGTTGGCTAACGAAACATTTGACGGAATGATAAAAGTCCTACAGTTACGACATTTTCTAAAGCGTCCAATCAGTATGATATTTTTTTCAAATGGTTTGTGGTCTTACAAAAAAAGAATGTTTTGGAAGTAAATCAATAGCAAATCCACCAATGACATAGGTCATCATCTGAACACGAAAATTAGCGAATTAGTGTTCCAAAAAAGATACTTTGAATGAATGGTACTTTGCAGAAAAAACACTCTGTTGTTTAAAAACTAATAAATCCGCATTTTATATTTAATAAGTTTTATTTCAATCGAAAGTTTATTACACAATTTTTTAATAAGAGAAATCTTGAAGCAAGAGAACTTAGAAGACCTTACTTACTTTCCCAGCAGTAGAGGTAACTTAGACAACGTTTTATTAATTTTTTAGTTGAACAATTTCCGAAGATACAAAACCATATTTTCCCTAAACAGCTGTTTTAACACTTAAGAAATCAAAAACTAAAATGTTAGCTGGTTAAAACATTGTATACGCAATGGAGTTTTCACGTGGTGTAATTTACAGAGTGTTTTAATGGTTTTAAGTGTGTGCTACATTGACTACAATGTTGGCTGGGACGAGGCTAATTAGATAAAAGCTTGAGTCTGTAGGTGAGGTGGAGGAAATGTCAATATGTATCATAGTATTCTACTTTTTTCAAACTAGGACATCCCGACAAAAAAAAAACTATTATGCATAAACACACCTCCGACAAACATTACATCATAGTCTATTAAATAACAAGATATTGTCAAAGAGAAATATTAAACAACAGAATCATTAGGGTTTGTATTTTTGTATGATTAGAAAATTTGGGTAAAATAATAAACTACTAGGGGATTTGAAAATGGAAGACTTAAAACAAGAGGACACTTGGTTTAAAATCTAATGCAACATGCTTAAATTCTGGATGAGTTGATGTTAAACTAAAAGCCTGACTGTTACGGGTGTGTGAAGGTAAAATCTCCTCTGTTCCTTATACCATTGTACCCGTCTATGACAGTAATAATTTGCAAGGATATGTGTCGAAGCTTTAATCACTGTTTGATCAAAAGCATAGT